CCGGTCGTCGGTGGCTTACCCGCAGGGAAACGGTCAAGTGGAAAACGCTAACCGGACGATATTGGAAGGTCTAAAAAAGAAGTTACACTCGGCCGGTCGTAGTTGGGCCGATGAGTTGCCATATGTCTTATGGACTTATCGGACGACCCCGAGGGAAGCTACTTTGGAGACCCCTTTCGCCCTGGTTTACGGAGCTGAAGCCCGACTCCCGATCGAGGCTTGGATCCCGACCGACCGAGAGAGAACCTACAACGCGGAAGACAATGAACACGCCATGGCTGTGGATCTCGATGCGGTCGAAGAAAAAAGAGAGCTAGCCGCTCGGCGTATGGCCGAGTACCAGAAGCGCGTCAAGAGCTCGAAGGATGTTCGGGTCAACCCTCGTTATTTTCAAGTCGGAGATTATGTCTTACGACGAAGGGAGGCCAGTCAACCTTTAGAAGGGGGAAAGCTAGCTCAGAATTGGGAAGGGCCGTACATCATCAACGCTGTCATCCGGCCGGGAACGTACCGACTAGAGACAACGACGGGTCGGCTAATAGAGGGGACTTGGAATTCCGAGCACCTCGTTCTTTTTAGGCATTAGCCTATTTTTTGTATTTTTAGACGAAGTAGGGGCTGGACCTGCGAGTTAGTCCCGGTCGTCATTTCTATGTAAATTTTATGGTTGTAAAAATTAGTTCAACCGCCTGCGAGCGGGAAAGTTTAATGTATATACGATCGATGATTGCTCGACCGTCTGTATACGGCGGCACGATCGGTTATTTTCTTTCACCCTTGTCATGAGCAGATCAGTTCAACACTCAATCGATCGGGCGAAGTCTGTCGACCGGTCAAAGCGCGCTCCACATAGGCGGACACTCAAGTCACGCCACCGATCGGGGAAGCCAGGAGCTCTCAGCATTATTCCCCGATCCGTCCAACTCCTGTCCACCATCGCACCCACTCGTGCCTCGTGCGCACAATAGTGTGGGGGCTGGGATAAGGAAGTATACAAGGCCCGTCGCTCGGTTACATTCCGACCGTAGAGGCTTGAAAATTTTTTCGGCAAAATTCCGACCGTAGAGGCCTGGAGATCGGATAAACCCGATCGGTTGGCCAGTTTTGAAGTCGAAACATCTAACGCACGACCAGGCCATAAGGTCGTAAGGTCGGGTGTTGAGTGGATCGAGTATCGCGAGACCGGGCCTAAAGGCCAAGTGGTCGAGTGATTAAGATCAGTGTGTGCAAATTGAGAAGCAAGGAAATAAAAGACGAGCGGCACGAGATAGAGCAAAAATAAAATTTTATTGAGTAGCAAAAGGTGCCCGGTACAATTCGGGACCGGGCTCCCGATCGATCATCATTACAAAAAGGGGAGACAGCCTAGCCTACTTCTTCGCCTCCCGAGCTCCAGCAGCTGCTTCCTTCCCGCTCGAAGGGGCCGCCGACGATGCCCCGGGTTCGGACGCCTTGGCCTTCGGGGCGAAGGGAGAGGGACCGGGATCGGCTAGGTCTGGGGGCAAAACCGAGAGGACCAGCTGAAGGTCCTCCCCATCCAAGGCCTGCTCCAACCGGGTGCGGACTCGTTCGAGCATCTTCCGCTTCCCGGCCGTAAAACCCCAGCGGCCGAACGAGACGATCAGTTCTTCACCGATCGCTGTTCCCCGGGCTTCTGTGAGGAAGGCCGAGCCCAGGTCCTTATCTTTGAAGGCCGCTCGCGCTAGCTCGCTCGGGCTCTCGAGCTGAGCCTTCAGCTCCTTGGCCTCCCCAATCGCCCGGCTGGCGACCTTCTCGGCCAGCACCCGCTCCTCGTCACCCTTCTTCAGGGCCTTCTGCGTTTTCTCCAGCTCGGCCTGGAGTTCCTTGATCTCCTTCAGACGACGAGCGGCCGTCTTCTTGTGGTGATCAGCCTCCTCGGCCAACATAGCTTGACCCTGAAGAAGTTGGGTCGCCCGGGAGATCTGCAATACAAAGAAGGGCATTCAAAATTAGCCCGATCAAAGATACTATGGCAATAAAAAATTATAAGTTGGGACTTACCTCAGCAAGATCGGCTACGATCCGCTCAGCAACCTGGGTCGGGGTCATCTTCCCCAGGTCCGCTCGGGCTGGCGCGGCATTGCCGATCCGTGCCAGCACGGATGTAGGCTCCCTCTCCCGCCCGGCCGAAGGGGTCGGGCTGTGCTGTTCGCGGCGGCGCTTCAGGCCGCCCACCTCGGTCGCGCCCTGGTCGGCGACCTTCTCCTTGCCCCGGGCGACCTCCACCCGAGTGACTAGAACGTCCGGCTGCTCCACGATGAAGCCCTCGCCCGTCGTCACGGTCGAGGCGCTCAGAGGTCGGGCAGATGGGATCTCCTTCTCCACGGCCGCCTTGGTCTTGGCCTTCTTCTTCCCGCCGAGCGAGATCTTGGCGGGTGGGGGAAGGGCGGTGTCTTCATCACCGAACTCGGCCATAGCTGCAAAGCAGGAAAATTAGTTAGATCGAGGTAATAAGCCAGGTCGAGAGAAGTAGCTCGTGCCAAACCTTTCTTCTTTCGTTTTGACGGCTTGGCGACCGTCACGCCCATCGGAACGGGCAGATACTTCTCCGGCAGCTCGTACGTGGGGGGCGGGAGCATGGCAGCTGCGAGACTGTCAGCCGTCCGGAAGATGGTGTACTCATGAATCTCGCTCGAGATCCGAGCAACCGTTTCCTTGAGCGCCTGAGTCTCGTCTGACACCACTTGTTTCCGAAAATGTGTGCTCCAGACGCGATCGACCGGGAAGATCCAGGGCTCGTACTTGAGGGAGAAAATCCTGTTTTTCCACCCCTTGTTGTTCCCGGGCAAGCCTCTGATCGAGCACATATCCGCTCGGGATTGCAGCATCAGGAACCCACCCCCGTAGCGGCCCGGGAGAACCTTGATCTGGTAGATGAAGTTAAACAACTCCATCGTGCACTCGGCCCCGTGCCGAGCGCATATCTGTGGGAAGCAGGCCAGGATCCGATGTGCGTTCGGACAGATCTGGGCCGGGACGACCCGGTAATAGGCCAAGAAGGCGTTCAGGAGGGGGGTGAAGGGAATGGCGATCGGGGCCATCAGGGAGTCGTAGTGCATCCCGATCCACCTGCCCCGATGCCTGTCAATCACGTTTCCCAGCTGCCGGCTCGTGTCGAATTCTGCCCGACCCCGGAGTATCTCGGCAATCCGAGCCGCCTCGCCTTTGGACAGCAGACTCATTTCTTGCTCGACGCTCTCGCTGTTCAAGAATTCGAGCTCGACAGCTGGTGTGGCCGGCCCGGCCGGGTCTTCTTCGGTCTGTTCGGGGGTATTTTCTCGATCACCCCCTCGAGGAGCAGCTTCCGGGTGGTCCCCAACCACCCGGGTGGGCGTTTCCCTAACGCCCTCGGTTGGAGAACCTCGCCCGCTTGACGTGGTCCTCTCTTCCTCTTCTTCGCTGGAGCTCCCCGATCCGCTCGAACTTGAGCTTGACGATCCAGAGGAGCTTGATGCGTTGTCTCGCTCGGCGGCTTGCTCGGGGGCTGGCGTCGCTCGGGGACTGGCGTCCGGGGTGTAGGACATTATGTCCACCTCCTCGTCGCTGATGTGCTCGACCTCCTCGTCGTAATCAGCAATCGAGGCGTTTTGACTGTCTGAGTCCGTCATATCGATCTACCTAAAGGTCGGTCGGAGTTAGTAGGGACTTGAGACGTCCGGGACAGTTAGTCGACCTAGCAGTTCTACCTATAAATGAGAGCCTAAAGTAAAGAGGAGGGTTAAGAGCTTACCGGTTGGAGGAAGATTGAAGTTTGAAGCTTGAAAGTTGAAGTTTGCTTGTTCGACTGCCTTGCTAAGCTGCTCTGCTCGGGACTCTCTGAGGGTACCGACTGATGCAAAAGAGTGAGGAAAGTTCAAATGAGGGCCTCAAGGGCCTATTTATAGGAGGGCATTTAGGCGGGAAATGGGCCAACTTGCCTGACACGACCCGCGCTGAATCCGAGGCGACGGATGGGATCGCCGAGGCCGGCAGAGGCCGACACGTGGCGTAGGGGGGAATGACGGCTGGCCGGTCGGCCTAATGACTGACGGTTGGGCTTCTTCATCCCGTCCCGTTTTTTCCCGACTGATCAAAAAGGCCCGGGCTGGGGGGCTCTTGGTAGGGAATATCCCGACCGACATAGCTTCACCACGACCGAGGAGTCTTTGTCTCTTTCTCCTTGTCTTTGCAGGTAACAGGCCGGGCCCCTTGAGAAAAACCCGGTCGGAAACCGACCGGGAGTTGCCCGAGCGAGGGTGTCAACCCCGAGCGGTAGTCCTGCGGCGAGAGAGCTGACTAAAGACACGTGGCGGCTCTTTACATCGACAGGCAGGGCACCCAGGAGGATGGCACGTGGTGGCTACGTGGAAGACATGCCGAGCAGCTGGGATCTTGTCTCCGGCACAGCGGCTATAAATGCCCACAGTAGCTACAGTGTGGAGGACTTTTGGACGATCGATAGGTTGTTATTAGAGACTCCCGACCGCAGTCAGTCGGTACTCAGAGCAACCAAGTAGATTGTACTTAGGAACTCTACCTTGATCAATAAAGACTTACTTGCTTTACTTGGTCTTGTGTTATTTATATTGCTTACGTAGAATTAGCAGTATCAATATCTAATGTTTAAATATAAATAAATACCTACATTATTACATTTATTTAACAATAATAGCACTACCGAAGCAATCTTATCCAAGTTGGTTAGGGTGTTAGCTTAGTAACCACAAAATTTAAGTCAGAACTCTTAAATCATTCACATATTCAAATTCAAATATTGAAAAAATGATTGCTGACTTGTTCATATTATAAGGAACATTTAATTTCAATTCAAGACTTATACTCTATCATGATAACCATTCAATTTTCTTCAGATATTATCTATTGTAAAATTGTCAATAATATTGTATTCGTTGATCAATTGAATGTCTAAAATTAATTGTTCTTTTGTGAAGATTATATATTGAGCCCGTGAAGTCAAAGTGTAGTTGAAAATGTCTGTTAATTCAATTTATTGGAAGATAAATTATAGCAAAATATATACAAGTAAATAACTCTCATAAACACACATAAAGCACTTAGAAAGTCACATGTCATTCCATCAAGCATCCTAAGGGTTGCAATGGGCCATGATGGTTTTTTTTTTTTTTTTTTTTTATTTATTTAAAATTTAAATTTTGGATGATGGAGGGAAAATCACAGTCACAGTTGATAAGTGATCATAGATTAAACTCTATTTATATTTTATAAAGATTGGTGAGATAACCATCTTGTTAGCATGGCAACACTTTCCTCTCGCTTATATTCGAAGGCTACATGCCCTGCTCCCTGTAAGTAAACAATACAAGGGGTAAAGTTGGAAAATCCAATAAAAATTTGTACGCGTGTGTATACATAACAGAGTCTATGAAGATAACTTACTTTTAAGGTTGCAAATGTCATTTGGTTGGAGTAAGACCTTGTGTAACTTGCAATTAATTAGTAATAAAATGAAGCCAATTTAGCATTCAATTCAAAACACAAAAGAAGCAACACCAACAAATTAAGTAGTTTAAGTCAAATGATAAATACCCAGCAACTTGACTATTTACAATCCACGGTCTCCACTCGTCAATAATAACGTACTTCAAAGATTTAATCCATGCTTCCGTTGATTGGAATGGAACACACATGTCGTGATCACCACTATACCACTCATTACAAAATAGATTTAATTATTATTTTTTGAATAATCAGTTAGTAACACTAAAACAAATGATTTCTAATTACTTACCTATATATCAGTGACCTATAACCTTTACGACTGATATTTGCATGATATTGTATTGTATCCATCAAAGTGACTCTATAGGTCCATATTGAAATGCTTTGCCTACATCTCAGCCATTGTCCTATAGATCCCTGATCAAAGTTAAATAGAACAAGAAACTAAATCAAAATCATATCATGCAAAATGATTTGGTACTACATTGGTATGGACCCATTGAGTAGGAACATAACTTTGTAGAAAATGCCGATACAAAAGTACACTGAGTAAAATTATAATATGCAATATGCATATGATAATATGTAAATGTGTATTAAAAAAACGTTCAAACTCTAAAAGTACAATAAGCAAAATTATAATGTGCATCTATTCTTCAATTGCATACATATTCAATACGATGTTACATATCATCGAATGCACTTAGTAGTTTTGCACAATACACATTTACAATAAGCGAGCTATATTTTTATCTAATCCACCACTATAAGTATATATAAAATATTAAAATATTAGTAGATGTAATTCTCAAACCTTTCGGACGTGCAGTGCTTCTTGAACGTTTGGGTCATTTGCCCAATAATTTGAGAGTTTACGATAATCAACCTAGAAAATTTCAAATAAAATTTAAGTTCCACATCTAAAAAAAATAAGTTGTAGTGTAACTTGTATGTATGTGTGTGTATATATCAGAAAAAAAAAAAATGAGACAACTTACACGACACCATAAGTCATTGTTGGAAGACATAAATTTCTGTTCAAGTGACCTTCGTTTACCAGAAAAGTTGTCGCCTGGGTTCAGCAATGCACTTTCTGATCCACAAGAAGGCTCTAGAATGTGCTGATCATTAATCCCAGCAATCATCTATGAACCAAACGAGATGAATTTGTATTATCTCTTAATTTATTTTATTATTTTACATATATAAAGTTAACAAATATAATTAAAGAAATATAATTAATTAGCAAACCTGCTTGAACACCTGATGGTTTTGAGAGCACAATTCATTCCTCCACCCTATGTCTTGATATTCTTCTTTACAATTCTCTGTAAGCGACTATATATACAAAGAAAATTTGAGCATGCATATATGGGCTTTGATTTATATGTATACTAATTATTAATTGATTAAGAAAATTAGATTAATTAAGTGAATGATTTATCAGTATAATTAATGTATATTAATGAAGATGCTAACCGTGTAGAGTTCAGTGGAAATGAGCCCCATTCCATGTGCAAATGGAATTGAGTAATTAACTTCGCCAGGAAATGTTTTGGGATTGCCCAGTATATATCCCTAAAAAGATGTACTTACCTCATTAATAATACTTTAATCACGTTTAATTAATTTTACTCTGGACTTTTTTGATAATTTCTGATTCAATTATCTTTTGTTACCAATTTTGTCTCATTACTGTGGAAATTTATTTGTCTTCCTAGAGTAGTAAAGAAAACTATTCAAACCTTAAGATTCATCATTGGCTTGTTGCCAGCTTCATTTCCTGCAAGTTTGTAAGAGAGGACCCTTCAATTGAATGCTTTTTAAAACTAGAATGCTCTATATATAATTATATATTTGTATTCATACCAGTAACTATCAATTGAACTATGATCGGAACAGTAATTCCAGAATAAGAATCTCCAGCAATATATAGAGGATTTGATATGAAGTCTGGATTATTATAAAACCACTGCAAAACAAATTAACTTAAAACAATTAATATATTAGGGAATAGGGAGTAAACATTTTTAAATCATTTTGGTATATTAGGATATTGCATCAAATACCTTTTGCAAAAATTCATAAACGTGGTCGAACGCTTGTAAATCGGTATACGTGGTTGCATCCGGAGTCGTTGCATACGAAAATCCAGTATTTGCGGGTTGGTCCAAAAATATTATGTTGGCAACCTAAAATTTCCAAAATTAATTACTCTATTCTGAATAATTAGCTCAAAATATTAACCTCAAACTAACCAAAGTAATGCCATACACAATATGTATATCTTAATGCATGAGTGAAGGTGTTGATTCCAGGCAGTCACCTTGGTCATCGAGTACGTGTGGAGTCAATAACAACGTTGGCAGGCTCCCGTTATATTGTTTTGCCTCAAATTCTAACGGCCCTATACATACATAAACTAATTAGATACAAAATTTAACACCGAAAACCTCAACCCAATTGATCAGATACTTCACTATTGATTTGAGTCGGTCAATTATGAATAACTTAAACTGATTTATTAGCATATTCTTGTAACGGACTTTCTAACAAATCAAAAAATTATATTAAACAGTATATGCATACCTAACTCGTATAAAAGTCCACTTAAAGATGAACATCCCGGTCCACCAGTGAGCCAAAGAATAAGAGGATCCTTGTTAGGATTCGATTCGGACTTAACAAAGTAATAAAATAACTGGACTTCTTCATTTTTACCCACTCCGATGTACCTGTTTGCAACATCCTATCATATATTGTAACTCAATACATGAAATATTATTATTATTACACAAAAATTTATATGAAATTGTCTCACAAAAGATCAATCATATCGGTTAAAAGACTCGCATGATATCAAAAGAAGATGAGCGTACCCAGTGTGGAGTACAAAGGGAAGACGTCCATGGAAGCCGGGGAGAAACTCGACGACGGTAGAGCGATCGTCATCGGAAAGAACACCGGCAGGAAGCAGTTGCAGAATAATTATAATACAGAAACAAAGGGAATTATGGGAAGATGGTTTCTTCATGTCCTTGGACCTCAATTCAACTATAAACAGTTATATGGCAATATTGTCTGTCGTGTCTGATGGACAATATATATTTTGGTCTTGGACGAGGGACAACCTTGAGACCATCCACGTTGTCGCGCGCCAGGCCGGCCACGGTAATAATAAAAGAGTAAGTAATTTATTTTTGCCAGTTTGACAATGACTAAGGCCTATTTAATTATTATTTTTTTTTTAAAGCAAAATCGATGGTAGATTACCGATTGCATAAGAACCAAAACAGAATCAGGAAATAGTTCAGACAAAGTCTAAGTATATTAATAATAACATATATATTAATAATAACAAACGAAGAAAATAAATAAAAACATATACAAATAATTATGGAAAAATGCATGTGTAAATTAATTCTTACTTTAACTGTCGCAAATGTCATCTGATTTGAATAGGATCTTGTGTAATTACAAATGGACCAACGCATAAACTAAATAATGTAGTCAAGAATATATTAATTATAATTACATTATCACGTACTAACAAAAAGTTTTACAGTTTAAATTTAGATAACCTACCCTGCAACTTGGTCATTACTCATTAACCATCCATGGTCGCCAGTCATCAACGATAGAATAATTTAACGATCTTATCTAGGCTTGAGTCGATTGGAATGGAAGTGTAAAGTCATGGTCACCGCTGTGCTCATACCAATTCGCTGTAGTAATTGATCAGGTAATTAGTTGTTATTTATTGTAGATTAGATAGATGTATGCGATAATTATACAAGTAGTATTATCATAACTTATCATATGACATGACATACCTATATATTAGTGACTTGTAGCCTTTAGTACTAAGATTTTTGTGATATTGTATACTGTCAATATATATATGTGATTATGTAAGTGTCGTTGCTAATACTTTGTCTGCATCTTAACCATTTTTCTATAGTTCCCTGATTCAAAACCCTCAATTTAATTTTTCTAAAAATGCATACAGGTAATAATGATATTTAATTTTGTTAGTGAAAAAACAAGGGAGAATACCTTTCTAACATGAAGAGCTTCTTACACTTGGATCATTTGCCCAGTGATTGGAAAGCTTTCTATAGTCAAGCTACATGCAAGGATTTACCAAAATTAAGTAACTTTAATAAATTAAAATTGTATTTCAAAATTATAAAATCAAAGGAGAATCTCATTCGCGAAGGAGAAGGCGACTAGTTTGGTTGCCTTCTTCGCCGGAGAAATCAAAAATTTTTTAAAAAAAATAAAATAAAATTGCGTTTCTCGAGAAACACATGTGGGATTTGCGTTTCTCGAGAAACGCAACTCTCACTTGTGTTTTAAGTTTGACCGGAAATATGATAAAAACGCATTTTTCAAATGTGTTTTTCATATTTTCGTCTAACTTTATTATTATTATTATTATTATTATTATTATTATTATTATTATTATTATTATTATTATTATTTTTTCATATTTTGAGGAATTGCATGTTTCACCTTCACATTTCTGTCTTTTTCCCCGCTCAGTGTGGAGTATAAAAGGAAGACTTCCATGGAAACCGGGAAGAAACTCGACAACGGTAGAGAGATTGTGGTCGGAAATAACGTGTTGAGGAAGAAGAATTGTGATAAGGAAACAAAGGGAATGATGGGAGGATGGTTTCTTCATCAACCATAACTTCACTGCGTCCATATATTCGATCGTTGGGAGTAGCTAGCGCACGTAGGTAGTATGTACTATGTAGTATCGTCGTCGTCTGAGAATATATATATATATATATATATATATATATATATAGAATACGTTTTGGTGTTGGACGAGGGACGTTGCCGTCTTCAATTCAAATGTCCTCATCAAGTAGCTTTCATGCATGGCTTTTCCCAATGAGCTAAATCAAAAAATTAATAGTGGTCAAAAAAGTCAAAATTAACCTATAGGCCAATTTTTTACTGGCCAAAGTCTAGCTAACTATAATGAACACCACAATTTTTTACGATTAGCTTTTTTAGGTTTCAAAATTATTATTTTTAATCTAAACAAAATTTAAAATATATTTCTCGATAACAAAATTGAACAATTAAATTTCTACATATTTTTAAAAATAGTTAATTCTCTTTTTTATCCTATGCTTATAATAGCATGGATAATTTTAATCTTTTGTAAAAAAATGTTGTTAATTTATAGACACACTTATTGTGACGAGGACAATTTTAATCCTCTATTTATTATTGATTAGTTGTCCGTCTAAATAAGGGACGTTTTTGTTAATTTGGCAAAAGTCAATCCGATTCTCTTCCCCAAATAACACAATGTATTTGATACTGATAACATTCTATACATCAAGATCCGTATTTGGCATCCCATCAAAATGCAGCAGTTTGATTCTTAGATGCTGTTTAAAAAATTTTCTCCTGGAGGCTGTAAATAAATATTTATGTGTCAACCTCTCCCCAAAATGGATTTCTTATCGTAATTTTTGTTCAAATGACTTTTGACAGTGCTCTTCTGATTCGCTTGCTAAAGGAGAATGTAAAAGGATATTCTCCCAAGGAGAATGTTTTGACAGAAGAGCTTGAGTTTGTCCGCCATGCTCTTTTTACAGATTCAGATGATCAAAGTGGTTGGTTTTATCATCTATGGCTAATGGCTTCTTGAGCAGACAGTAAAGTTAACAACTTTGTTGGTTTCTTCATGGCCACCTCATGGCAACCACTATGGAGAAGTTCTTCAGTTCTACAATGATTTAATGGAATTGGATCCACCACACATTCAGTACTATAAGGATGAATACAGCTCTGTTTTACTAAGACAGGTGATTTTCTTATTTCTGTTAACCACTTAGGCATGATTTGTTGTCGAATGTTAGAGTTCACCTTGGCTGTGGAAAAAGAGAACTCCTTGTTAGTTGTTATGTGCTCGTTTGTCTAGGTTTCTGGCTTCTTCAAAAAGAGGCTCTTTTTGAGCTTCTTAAAAAAAGATTTTTTCCTCTTAATTGAACTTAAAATCCTTTTTATATTTTTACAGTTTGGCTCAGCTTTTGCTTTTTGGTATAAATAAGTTAAAAAATAAGCTGGGACCAAATAAGCATAGTACCTGATGTTTACTAGAGGGCATATTGAGTGGGGGCTAAAGTTGATGATCAGCTGCTTTTTATTGAGCAGATGTTTGTCATGGCAAATGAACTGCAATGACGACTAATTGAGTGAGATTCTGAAGAGATACAATATATAGAAATTGGTTTTTTAATTTTAGTTTTTTTTTTAAAATCTTCTAAAGAGAGTGTTGGTTTATCTTCATAATGTCCTTTTGCAGTTATTCTCCAATCAAGAGTCTTTGCTGGAACGCTGCCATCAATATCGAGAACCATCTTCTTCAATCATTTATAATTATTCATGTCTGCGGCTAAATAACCTCTCACTTTCTCGAGTTGGGTGTTTGGAAAAACTTTTGTGGGTCCAGATCCTAGATCTTAGCTGCAACCAACTTCGGTCAATTGAAGGTACAAAACTCCAGTTCTTACTTATAGAACTCGTGGCATGTTGATTTATGCCTTCTTTTTCATCAATTTATGGCGTAAGGTGTAGCAGGAAACATTGCCTGTTCTTTTTCAATGTTTAAATTGAAAATGATATCAATACCATGTTCTATGAATTTTGGTGCAGGCATGGAGGCAATGCAGCTACTCTCTTGTTTAAACCTAAGCAAGAACTTACTTTGCAGTTTCACTGCTTTGGAGCCTTTAAGGCATCTAAGATCGCTAAAAGTATTGGACATCTCATCCAATGAGATCGGTGCGCACTCAATTGACACAAGAAGGTACCTGTGTTCTTCTCCGCTGTGCCACAGTAATGGAAGTGCTTGGAACATCGAGCAATTTTCAACCGATGCTGTCAATGCGACTGATTACTGGGAAGCATTCTTAGTCTTTAAGCATATGAATTTGATACAACTAGATATTGCGGGAAATGCTGTTTCTGATGAAAAGTTAAAGTTGTTGCTGTCTGAGCTAATACCATTGCTCAAATGGCTTGATGGTCAAAAGCTCCGATAAGTTTAAAGTGCCCTTCTTATTTTCTCGTGTACTTTTATGTAACAGTGACTACAGATGAACCTTCTTTCCTTGATACAACTGAGATATGGTAAATTTTATCCCACATTTTCAATTTTTGCTTCTTTTAAAGGATTCATGGATGCTTGAAATGCTGGATGTCTCAAATCTGTTCTTGTTTTGATAAGGATACATCTTTTTAATGCTCATAATACAAAGGGTTTAATGTTTTGGCCTTGAAGATTCATTTACAGGGAAAGCAAAGCAAAAGGGGACATTCGAGTTTTCAACAAGATGAAAACTCAAGAGTACAAAGTTGAAACCGAGAGAGTGAAGACGATCCAGAATAGCCACGACATAACATAAAGCATTGGTTGCAGGGGTGCAACGTATCTGAACACGACTATTTTGGCAACGAAGAAGTTGAGAAACTTAACAGCCGAGGTAACAAAGGCATCCCAAAGTTGATTTCTCATTATTTGCTCTATCTTCCATGGATGGCCTGATATGCATAACCTCACTGTGAAATATACAAGCATTCCCAAGAATGCGTATGAGTACAGCTTTTGCATGTTGCTCTTTCATCTGTCTCTCTGGGAAATGCAATTTTGACTCCATTTTTGGCCTTTCTTGTTTCAACTCCTTTATGTTTGTGTGCTATCAGACAGCTTGGTTAGGCTATTTATAGGTACTTAGAGAAGTCAAATCACAGCTTATTCTTGCCGGACAAGGTAGACCCTTGGATCAATGAATAGATGATTAATCCTAGAATCAGGTATCTTGGAGAGTACGAGGTCAACTGTAGAGGTTGCAATTAAAATAGTTGGTAGTCAAAACCGTGGGGAGGAAGCCTTGAACCTAATCCTATTACCTCGATGCATATGGATCTCTACTTTTGCTTTAACTCTCTGTTTTCTTAGGCGGTGTATGAGGTAAATCACATGTTCCATAATAATTGATTTGATAAAAGAACACACTTGAAGTAAAAAAAAAAAAAAAAGAAAGAAAGCAAAAATAGCTTTTGATTTATGAGAAAGTTTGCAGTTGCTATTTGAAAGTGTGCATAATATGAAGTTGAGATTTTAGCCGGCAAAAGATTATATAAGGAGGTAAACTAAGTTAGAGACCAATAGACAATTACCTGTTGAACTTATCAAATCAACTGCCCTACCAACTTGCTTGCAGATAAATATTTATTCTTGCTTCCTACTTGTACAACAGTTGCCCAAGTCACCAACTTGATCAATTTGCCACACAATCCAGAGGGGCAAGCAATGAAGAAGAAGAAATTATCCATTTCTCACTCAACTTATCCTTGTTAGGACTCTTGTATTAGTAGTTGGCTAGGACTCTTTACTTATCTCCTTATATTGTTATTGTTCAGACTATTATTGGTTTTACGTTGAATATACAATCCTCATCTGGTATCAGTATCCAGGGATTCTTTTTTCCATGGCAACCTTGGGAGATAACAATGGCGGTTCTGTTCGTGATTTTTCTGAACGGACTGTGTCCGAGGTTGCCCCTACTCCCGTTTACCCGAATACTAGTTTGTCCTCCGCCCATCACTTCGTGTCTATCAAACTTACCGCCCACAATTATTTGTTTTGGCGTACTCAGATGTTGCCATTCTTGGAAGGCCAAGGGTTACTTGGATTTGTTGATGGCACACTGCCATGTCCGACGCCAGTACTGCTGTCGTCCGTCCCGGTGGAGTCGACGGCAGACAGCGCTGGCTGGCCGTCTGATTTGGCTTCGCTGCAACAGCAATGGCGCCGGCAGGACAAGGCTGTTCTTTCTCTACTGATTTCATCCTTGTCCGGCGAGATGCTACCTATGGCGATCGGGCGCTCTACGTCGCGGCTTCTATGGTTGGCGATCGAGCAGGAGCTTGGCTCGGCGACGCGTTCTCGGGCTTTGAGGCTTCTCGGCGAGCTGCAGGGACTGTCCCAGGGGGCGTCATCCGTCTCGGATTATTTGAGTCGGGCGAGAGTTCTGGTTGAGGATTTGGCGCTGGCCGGCCGGGTTATTACGCTTGACGATCAGAATCTCTACGTTTTTTGTGGATTACGACCGGAGCTCCGTCCTCTTGTTGCACCACTGAAGCGTGGCTCTCCGGTAACTTTAACTAAGCTTTCTGATTATTTAACTTCGCAGGAGTATATTTGTGCGCCTGGTGGTGGTGATGCTGCTGCCCCGACTGCTATGGCAGCCTCGCGTGGCCGAGGAGGAGGTTGCGGTGGCGGCCGGTCCTATCGTGGAGGCTCGGGCAGTAGCAGTGGCGGCTCGGGCGGTGGAGGTTCGGGCCGTGGCCAAGGTGGCCGGGGTCGTGGCCGTGGGCGGTCGGACGTCCGGTGTCAGATTTGCGAGAAGTTTGGGCACTCGGCACGGGCTTGTTTCCAGCGTTATTCTGAGACCACAGATCCTCAGGCGCATATGGTTGTTTCTGGTGGTGAGACCGGTGGTGTTGAGTCTCATCAGTGGTTTCCTGACACGGGAGCCACGAATCATGCTACTCCCGACTCCTCTATGTTGACTTCTTCGGCTCGTTATGGTGGTCCAGACACCTTACGTGTGGGTAATGGTGCAGGTATGCCTATTTTTAGTGTTGGGTCTGCTTCGATAGCTTCTTCCTCTAGATCGTTTAGTTTAACTGATGTTCTGCATGTTCCTGGGTTGTCCTTTTCGTTGCTTTCTGTTCAGCGGTTTGCTAAAGATAACTGTGTCTTTTTTGAATTTCATCCTGACTGTTTTCTTGTGAAGGATCTCTTGACCAAGAAGGTGGTTTTTAAGGGGGGTACCTCCGGTGGCTTATATTCGTGGCCTGTGTCTTCGAGTCCGTCTGCTTTTGTTGCTGCGCGTGCGTCGTCCTCTACTTGGCACAAGCGGCTTGGTCATCCACACACACGGGTGTTGCGTCAGATATTGCAGACATCCGGTGTTAGTTCGTTTAATTCTAGTGATTTGTCTCGTTTGTGTTCTTCGTGTCAGTTAGGGAAGTCTTCCCATTTTTCTTTACCTCGTGTTGAGACTAAAAGTACTCGAGTATTAGAACTTATATATACTGATATTTGGGGCCTAGCGCCTGTGTACTCTGTTAATGGTTTTCGCTATTTTGTTCTATTCGTGGATGATTTTACGCGATATGTGTGGTTTTATCCTATGCGTGCGAAAACGGATATTTATTCTATATTTGAACGGTTTCGGTCACTAGTTGAGCGGTCATATTCCCACAAAATCGTGTCTATTCAGTCTGATCCAGGGAGAGAGTACAAAAAGCTCCACTCTACTTTCGAGTCGCTCGGTATTCGTCACAGGCAGTCCTGTGCGTATACTCATGAGCAGAATGGTCGGGTAGAACGCCGCCATCGGCATATAGTTGAAACTGGGTTGGCTTTGATGGCTCAGGCGTCTATTCCCTCTCGTTTTTGTGATTATGCGTTTGAGACTGCAGTTTACTTGATTAACAAGATGCCTACTCGTGTGTTGAACGATGAGTCTCCTCATTTTCGGCTCCATCGTTCGCCACCCTCTTATTCTTTCTTGCGTGTTTTTGGCTGTCTGTGTTTTCCTTTGTTACGTCCCTATAATCATAATAAATTGGAATATCGTTCGTCTCCCTGTGTTTTCTTAGGTTATCCTGACTCTTTTCGAGGCTATCGTTGTCTGAATCCTAACACTAATAAGGTCTTTATTTGTCGCCATGTGCGATTTGATGAGTCCGTGTTTCCTTTTGCTGGCTCTATTTCTTCGCAGGTGGTTTCTCGGCCCCCGGCTGCTCCTTGGGGTGTTGCTCCAGTTGTTTCTGTGCCTCCTCCTACTACCGAGGTGGTGGATAGTGATTTTGATAAACAGGTTGTGGATTCAGATCCGGTACCGGCTGACTCTGTGTCTAGTGAGCAGACAGTTTCTGTTCGGCCGGCTCGTGGTCGTCCTCGCCGTGGGACTAAGGTGGTTGGTCATTGTTCTCATGTTATGGCCACACGGAGCCGGGGTCCACAAGAGCATGTGGCATTGGTGTCTACTGTTGATCCACCTGAGCCCACGTGTTACTCCCAGGCAGTCAAGCATCCAGAGTGGCGTGAGGCCATGGATGCTGAGTTTAATGCTTTGCTTCAAAATCAGACCTGGCGGCTTATTCCCTATACTCGGGGGATGAATGTTGTGGGCTGCAAGTGGGTATTTCGTGTCAAGAGGAATGCTGATGGGTCTGTTGAGCGGCACAAGGCCCGGTTAGTTGCCAAGGGCTTTAATCAGATTGCGGGCAAGGATTTCTTTGAGAAGTTCAATCCGGTTGTTAAGCCCACACCACGGTTCGTCTCTTGCTTTCTCTGGCCTATTCTCGTGATTGGTGTATTCGGCAGCTGGATGTGCACAACGCCTTCCTTAATGGGCGTTTGGCTGAGACAGTGTATATGCGTCAGCCTCCGGGATACGAGGACAAGTCAGCTCCTACTCATGTTTGTTATCTGCAGCACTCTTTGTATGGGCTTAAGCAAGCCCCGCGTGCATGGTTTACCCGGTTACATAACTTTCTTCTTTCCGTTGGCTTTACTCCATCGAAGACTGACGTGTCTTTGTTTATTTATTCTGATCATGGTGTGCAACTTTATTTTCTGGTTTATGTCGATGACATTCTTGTCATGGGCTCAGATTCTCGCCGAGTTACTGGGCTGGTGGATCGGCTTGCTCAGGAGTTTAAAATTCGAGATATGGGGCCCCCATTTTTTTTTTAGGGATTGAGACTGTTTCTATTTCTGATGGTATTCTTTTGTCTCAGCGCCGTTATGTTCAGGATATTCTCAAGCGTGCAGGGATGGTTGACTGTAAGCCGGTTTCTACCCCGATCTCGGTTGCTCGCTCTAAGGACGGTGATGTTGCTCCCTTTGCTGATCCTACACACTATCGTGGGCTAGCTGGTGCCTTGCAGTACTTAACGGTGACTCGTCCTGATTTATCCTTTGCAGTCAACCGGCTATGTCAACGCATGCAGGCTCCTACTACTGCTGATTGGTCTTTGATGAAGCGGGTGTTGCGTTATGTGAAAGGCACTCTTGGCATGGGGCTGTGTGTTCGGAAGTCTTTATCTACCTCGCTGCATGCGTTTTCTGATTCGGATTGGGCTGGTAGTCCGGATGATAGGAAGTCTACCAGTGGCTTTGCGATATTTTTGGGCTCTAATCTA